GAAAGAGAAAAGGAAAAGAAAGGGAGGGAAGAAAGAGAGAAAGGAGGGAAGGAAAGAAGGAAGAAACGAACCTTATTTCTGAGTGTGCTCGATGACTTCTGATGACAGTAAATGAAAGCACACCCGGGTGTTGGCCGTCTCTAATCTGTTTTGGTCTATCTAATCTTTATGGGGCCCAGGGTGAGCAGAAGTTATTAGGGACTTGGTCCCAGGGAAAGTAGGGCAGGCAGGAGAAGGCACAGGCAGCCCACAGAGAGCTGTCACTGAAGGAGAAGCCATCGTCTGGGGCAGGCCTAGACACGATCCGGAAAGGGCCCGGGAGTAGAAAGTTCTGGCTTTGTGGGCCATACAGTTCCTGTCATTTAAAATCCGTTCTTAGCTTCGAGGCCAAATGAAAGCAGGCCACAGGCCCCAATTCCGTGACTCCTGGTTCATGCACAGACAAATTACACCTTTCACCGGAGTGTCTCTCCTAGAGTAACACACTTTGTACAGAAAGAGATTCGAGGTTGCCTTGTGCTGCTTGGAGACGAGTTTAAGACACTCCTATCTGGCCAGCGCTTTCTCCGCTTCCGTTTTTATTAGACTGGGAAGATTCTTAACCACCATTTAAGCTTTCTCAATACGGTGAAAAGTGGATCTCCATAGCGTTTCATTCCTTACCTTCTCTGTCTTTCTGATTGCAGTGGCAGCTAACTTGCAGAAAATTGTGGAAGAACCTCAGTCAAATCGATCTGTCACTTTCAAACTGGTATTCACCCCTCTTTTTATGAAAGCATTTACTGGTTACCCACAAGCAGCCCCTACAGACCCGCTTCCGTGGCCCCTGAACGACGCGAGATGAGTCTGGTGGATTATATTCTCGTAGCCTCCCTGAGGGACCTTGGGCGGATGGCTCCCTCTCAGGGCCCTCCTTCCTCTCTCCCTTCTAGACCTCCGGCCCACGCCCTCACTCCTCCTCGTGGAGTGATGAGCCTGTTTGCCTCTGGCCGTGCACCCACCCTCCTCCTTTTCTGGAAGGAGCACCCTCTTCAGCTCCTCTGTCCCAGGGACCTGCCGCCCGCTGCTCCCTTCCCGCAGCCCCGTGTCCGTTGTCAGGCCTGCCTGCAGCTCCGTCCGTCAGTTGCCACAGCTCTCTCATCCTTTTTGGTTCTCAGGCATCTGGTGTCGAAGGCTCGGATATTCCCGATGACGGCAAACTGATCGGATTCGCCCAGCTCAGCATCAGCTAAGCCACAGCCTGGAAGCGGCGGCCTGAGGAGACCACACACGTGTCTGCTGCTTGTCTTGGCCTGAGCCTCCTACTGCCAAAGAACCCAGCGACGAAACTCCCAGCTAGGGGCTTTAGAGTTCTTCCTTTGCGTCCTTCCTGCCATCGTTCCCCTCTCTCCCAGGGAAAGGCAAGTTGGGTCACCAGTGGCCGGCGCCCTCTCGGAGAGTTCCGTTAGTAACCCGCTGCCCGCGTCCCCACCGTCCCCCATCTGAGAAGCGGCCCGCGTGCCTCCAGGCCCCGGGGGGAGGCCTGTCAGCTCATTCTTGCCTTACTCCGGGGAGGCCCCGGTGGAGAGGAGCAGCCGGTTACACGTCCTCGCCCGTTCTGCCAGGATGGCGGCGTCTTGGGCGTCTTGGGATACCCCCTCACCACCCAAGTAGCAATTACAAGGCGATTGTTCAGCAAGAGCCCAGAGAACTAACTGTAGTGTTCCTCCTTCGTACCCGACGTGAATTCTAGCAGCCTTCGTTAGGAAAAAGCACAGCCTCGGATGGAGGCCGCCTAAACCGTGTTCTCGTTCTGTTTGTGGCGTTTCTAAGCGTTCCGCTGAAGCTGCTCTCAGGCACCCCCTTCCGCAGCGCTCCCTCCAGAAAGGGTTGCTAGCCTTAACTTCAGCTGGTGCAGAATTCTGCCTGTGGTTGGACCCCAGCCATCGGACCCCTCCGAGTGGAAACTTGGACCATCGGAGGAGGAGACGTCGAGTAATGGCTGGTGAAAGTGGATTTTGCCAGAGTTGGTGTTTGAACAGGAAAAAAAAAAAATCATAACTCATATCATTGGGGAAGTATTTATTTTCAGATCTTAAAAAATGGAAAGAAAAACTGCTTCTTGATCCTCCCACGAAAATCAGTTCGCCTGACCTCCGAGCCATGACGAAATGGTGTGCAAGGCTGAGATTTCTACAGCAATAAAGGAGGCTCGCGCTGGGCCAGAGGCCTGCCTTCTCCCCTCCTGCACTGACCCTCCGGAGGGGGTCCCTGCGCACTGACCTGACTCAAGATGGAAAGTGAAACCACACGTGCCGTGACCTTTTAGGTTTTATGAGTAGACAGTGTTCGTTTGATTTTCTACGGAATAATATAAATTATTGTTTAGGTTAAAAAAAGAGCACTCGTAATCCAATATGTGAATAATCAGTGGGGTCGATTTTTCTTTTTTCCTACTGTTTCACAGCCTTTGTCTAATTACTAATAATGCTATCACGTTTTGTACCTGAATGGGAAACTCGATCCGGCCTTAAAGAGACACACACACCCAGATGGACCCTGGGCCCCCGAAAGGCAAGAGCTGCCTTTACAGCATCACTCGAGCCCCGTCCCAGCCTCGTCTGTCTGATGAAGATCGCGACTGAATCTGTCTCGGGACGTTTCTGAAAGCTGTCCCCACGACCGACTTGTTACACCTGTTTCGTTTATCCCGAGCCTGTAGTTTTAGTCACGGGTTTGCTTCACCCAGTCTGGGTACAAAGGCATGTGGGGAAGGCACAGATTTGGGGAGGAAAATAGGGGATGGATTGGGGATGCAGCTGGAGGAGAGGAGAGGTCAGACACCAAAGGCCAAGGTCCCAGCAGGACCTTGAGCGGAGGGAGCCTGCTGAGCCAGCGGGGAGAGGAGAGACTGACCAGCTTGCCGCAAAATACGCAGCTTTGCTTTGCTCTTTGCTTTGCTCTTTGCTTTGCTTTTTTCTTTTCTTTTTCCTTTCCTTCCTTTTTCTTTTCTTTGCTTTTTTCTTTTCTTTCTTTTCCTTTTGGCAGGGGTGGGTGGGCTGTGTAGTAGGGAAGCAAGGGAGGTGGGAACGAAGTCTAGCACCCTCTAACACAAGACTGATGGCTGCTCAGAGTCTGTTCTTGTTTCGAACAAGCCCGGCCCGTCGTCTCCTTGTCCGCGCATCCGAGGGGTGGTGGCATCACACTGTCCTGGCTTCCTGTTTGGAGGTGGTGGGTGCCCAGACCAGGAGAGAGCAGCAGCCCACGCCCTGCTCACATCCTCTAGTCTGCCTTTACCCTTCAGCTGCAGCAGAAGCAGGCCGGGGCCTTCTCTTTTCAGTTCGTCATTGCCCTGCCGGGAAGGAGAGACACCAAGGCCCAGGGCCGGGTTGCTTCTCCTCCTGCACGCTGTGTGCGGACTCTGTGCTGGCTTGCGCGGCGATGCTGAGAAAACAAGTGACCGGAACTGCCTGGTGGGAACCGTTCGGACCTAGTGAGCGACCTGCTCCGTTCCAGGAGGGCTGGTTCAGGTGCACCTCTGTCTCTAGGTCCCTGGGATCCCCTGGTCCCCAGAGCAGGGACTAACTCTAGCACACAGTAACACGTGCCAAGGCTGTTTGTGAAACGTGTGGCCTCTCTAAGTGACTAATGGATTCATTTGGGTTTTCTGCTTGTTTTGAACCAAATCCTAGAGCCGGCTGATATTTAATCATCTGGAGGATAGAATGATGGCGGATCAGTAAGTGGAGCTTCCTCCAGGTGGACGTTAGATGACGGAAGATGTAAAATATTCAACTCCCCCCCCTTTTTTTTGGACTTTGTATTTTACTGCATGTTTCCTTCATTTTTAATCAATAAAGAGTAAATTGTCCTCCGTGGTGTGCGGGTGCTTTCGTGGCGTGGCTGTCGGTGGGGTGGGGAGAGGGTGCGGGAGTCCCCACGGACTTCAGCTTTTCACGGGAATAGAGACAAGCCGACGTTCTCAGGAGCTGCCAATTTGTATCTTGATGTATAAAGTTTCTAGAACAGCTTAAAACCCTCGTACAGTGGGGAAACTGAAACTCCAGGAGAGAAGCTTCTAGTCTGTCCAAGGAACTTTGGTAAGATGGGGCCTGCTCCTCGCATAGGTTTTATTAACCTTTATTTATTTCTTCCACTAGTGAGAACAGACGCAGCACCCCCAAACAGGGTCTTAACCACAGTTCCCCCGTTAGTCTCAGCCAGCCTTGGACTGTGGACGGGCACGGGCCTGGAGTGCTCAGGGAAGTGTCTGGACGCGGACCCAGAGCCTTCCCACGAGATCAGCCTCACGGAGCCGCGTGACTGCTGTGCAGCATCTGACCCCCAGGGTGGCTCTTCTGACTCTGGCTCTGCTCTTGCTGTTGGGCACGGCAGAGATGCCACGAGCTCAGCCCTTGGGAGGCACGTTTGGGAAAATTCAGAGCTGGGCTGAACTTCTCCGCATTTGACTTCGATATTGAAACGGTGGGGTTTCACGTCAAATCCAGGCTCTTCTGTTCCCATCATTTCCCTCCTGGATGAATAATCTCCCTGCTCATAATCCTTCCAAGCAAAAGTAGCCTTTGATCCCTGCTGGGACTGCCAGTGGGTCTTGATCATTCCAGACTTTAGGGCTCTGCAGCCTTGGCGTTGACAGCACCAGATAGCCTGCAGCTGTTTGAGTTTGCTGTTGAGATAAGCGTGTTATAAAAGTGGACTCTGACTATTGGGGTGGGGAGGAGGAGCCGGTTGTATGTGGGGAGAAGAGGGCAGAGTAAACTGGGCCTCTGCACTCCCCCCACCCACATCCCATTTCTCCTGTAAGAGTATTTCCCTCACAAGAAAGGGGCACTCTTAACTATTCACGCAGCAGTACCCCTCAGCCCTGCACCAGCTGGGGTCATGGGCATACCTGGAGGGTTGAGGGCGACCTGGGTTGCAATCCGGGAGCCTTCCCACGTGGGACGGGTCCCCAGCATCATGCAATGCACCTCTACCGCCTGCACCACTGCACACCACCGAGGCCACCTGCAAGCTCAGATCGTGACACTAGGCTTGGGTCTTTGGCGTAACTTCTGCACAGTGGCCATGCTCAGTGCACCTGTGCAAGGAAGGGTTTTCTTCGGGTCAGTTCATCTACCCCAAGTTGGGTTTATGTTCTTTTTCTTTTTTTGGGGGGGTGGGAGGGGAGAGATTTTTTGCTATAGGGCGCATACGCTCGCCAGACAGAGACAGAGAGCTTACTTTATGACCTTTTAAAAGGAAGCTTCTTTTAAATGTAACTTTATTTTGACCAGAGAGACATAGTGAGAGACAGAGAGAAAGAGAGAAAGCAAGCCACCAGGTCCGGGACTCAAACCACGGTCAGCTGTGTGGCAGTCCAGCGCCTTAACCACCACGTCCCCCGCCAGACCCTATTTTATGATTTCTTTTTTTTAATTGCTGAGGGCACATGTGCTCCCCAGAGAGAGAAGGAAAAAGCACCCCCCATGGGGTGTGGCCACACCACAGTCCTTCGTGTCGCTGCCCTGTCAGGATTTGGGGCACACACCCAGGCCTGGTATTTCTCCAGCCACTGGGGCCAGGCCTCAAACTGCAGTCAGCCATGTGGGATCCGGCTCCCTTAGCCACGGGGCCACAGGGCCAGCCCAGACGGTTTTTTTTGTTTTGTTTTGTTTTTTTTTGAGAGGTTTTCGTTATAGGGCGCATACGCTCGCCAGACAGAGACAGAGAGACAGAAAGCGAGAAATCACCCCCCCCAGGGGGGATGGTCACGCCGCAATCCCTTCTCCTCCATTCTCCTCTCGGGATCTTGGGCACGCATGCACACGCGCCCGGCGTGAATTTTAAGCCACCGGGTCCGGGATGCGAACCGCAGTCGACTACGTGGGAGTCCAGCAACATAGCCATTACGCTAACTGCTGGTTCCCGGTTCATGTTCTTTTTTAATAGACTTATTTTTAGAACATTTATTTGCACAGCAAAATTGAAAGTACAGAGTTTTTAGAGACCCCTGCTCCATACGTGAACAGCCCCTATTGCTGTCTATGTCCCATACCGGAGCGAGGCATTTGCTACAAGGGACAAACATCCCGTGACACTATCATTGCCCAAAGCCCATAGATGATGTTGGGGTTTGCACGAGGCTTAATTATGCAGATTTTGACAAATGGCTGAAGACGTGGATGGATTCTCCATTACAGTATACAGCACAGGTTCATGGCCCTGCACATCCCTGTGCGCCACCTGGACATCCCCTACTCCCCCACAGATCTTTTTTTCTTTTTTGTCTAAGATGGCTTATAGTTAGAAAACACTGAATGTAGCCTTTTCAGACCGAGTTCTTTGACTAAGTGAAATACGAATTTCAGGTTCCCCCGTGTCTCTCCATGGTTTGGTAGCTCATTTCTCTTCTTTTTACAGGAGGGTGTGTGCACTTGCTAAGAGTGACAGGGAGAGGAGAAAGTACTCCCCACTCCCATGAGGCACCGTCATGTCACAAATTCTTCTCCATCTCTCATTTCGGGATTTGGGGAACACACGCACACGCACACGCCTGGCATGTTTCTCAAGCCACCAGGCCTGAGACTTGAAGTGTGTAGTCAGCCATGTGGGATCCAGCCGCCTTAACCACCAGACCACGAAGCCAGCCCACTCCTTTCTTTTTGCACTGAATCTTGGTCCACACCACAGTTTATTTATCCACCTCCTTACCAAAGGCCAACGTGACAGCTTCCAAGTCCAGGCAGTTATGGACAAAGCTGCCATAATGACGTCTCTGCAGGTTATTGTGTGGGTGTGTTTTCAGCTCCTCGGGGTGAGTACCAAGGAGCACTGCTGCGGGGTAGAGTGGTAAATGCGTGTTTCGTTTTGGAAGCAGCTGCAAACTCATCCAAGTGGCTCTACCATTTTGCATTCCCATCAGCAATGAATGGGAGTTCCTTTTGCTCCACATCCTTGACAGTATTTGGTGTTACTGGTTTGAATTTGGCTATTCTAATTGGCATATAGGTATCTCCTTTTCACTTGCAATTCCCTACTAGCAGGGGTTGAACATCTTTCTGTATGCTCATTTGCTGTCTCTATTTTTGGTGAGGTGTGTATTCAGGTCTTCTGCGTTTTTTGGGGGGAGGGGGGTGTATCTTAACTATTTTTAAATAGTCTCAGACTTAGGCAAAATTGCAAAAACAGTACAGAATTCCCCTGTATCCGCTCTCCATCTCCCCCACATGTTTATTTTCTTTTTAGGTTTACTGTAGGGTGTGTGCATTTGTTACACCCTGGGAGAGAGAGAGAGGTCGTGAGAAAGCATCCCCAGGGGGGATGACCATGCCATAATCCCTTCTCCACTGTCCTTCCAGGATTTGGGGCATGCATGCACACACTCCTAGCATGTTCCTCAAGCTGCCACTTAGGGAACTCGAATCATGTTGGTGATGTGGGATCCAGCTGCCTTCGCCACCACGTTACCTGACCAGCCCCAAATGTTTACAGCTTAAAAACCGCATACGGGCCAGCTCGTGGTGTGGTGGTAAAGACAACTGGGTTCCACATGGCCAACCCTGCAGTCCTGGACCCGGTGACTTGAGAAACACACTGGGCGCATGTGTGCGTGCCCAAAATTCTGAAAGGAGGGGGAGAGAGAGGAGAAGGGATTGCAGTGTGACCATGTCCAATGGAGGGTGATATCTCACATTCCCTCTCCTCTGGCAGAATTTTAAATAATAATAAAACACAAGGAAAGCAGGACAATAACACTGAGGTGATACTATTGACTAATCTTACGGACCTTACAGAGACGTTTTCAGCTGACCGCTACTACTGTTTTCCTGGTTCCAGATTCAGTCCAGCATCCCACATTGCACTTAGTCACCTTATCTCCCGGTCTCCGCCAACCCGAGACAGCTTCTCATTTTGTCTGTCTGTCTTGTGACTTTGACACTTGAACAGTAATGGCTAGTTATTTAGCAGGATGTCTCTCAATGTGAATTTGTTTTTACACATTGTTGGATTCAACTGGCTAATATGGCGTTGAGGATTTTGCATCTGTGCTCATGAGATAAATTGCTTTGTAGTTTTCCTGTAATGTCTTTGTCTGGCTTTGGTATCAGAGTAGGGCAGTCCTCATACAATCTTGGAAGAGATTGTATAGTGTTGATATGATTTCTGCCTTAAATGTTTGGTGGAACTCATCAGTGAACTCCCTTGGGCTTGGTGCTCGGTGCTTTCTGTTTTGGAAGATTATTTATTTAAATCATTCATTTAAATAATCCTTGTATAGGTTTTGGCCAATTTTATCTTTCAGAGAGTTGGTCTATTTCACCTAGGTTATCAAATTTGTGGGCATAGGATTGTTCATAATATTCCTTTTATGTTCATGGGATCTGTAGTGATGTCCCCTTTTTTTTTTATTTCTGATATTAGTTATCTTTTTCTTCTTCTTTTTTTCTTAATTAACCAGGCTAGAGGTATATTGATTTTATGGATCTTTTCTCTTTTTTTTTGGAGAGATTTTCACTGTAGGGCGCGTGCGCTTGGCAGACAGTCAGAGAGAGACATAGAGACAGAAAGCGAGAAATCACTTCCCAGAGGGGATGGTCACGCCTCAATCCCTTCTCCTCCATTCTCCTCTTGGGATCTTGGGCACACACGCACACGCGCCCGGCGTGAGGTTTTTTTGTTTGTTTGTTGTTTTTTAAAGTGAGAAATCACCCTGCCCCCTCGGGGGGATGGCCATGCTGCATTCCCTTCTCCTCCATTCTCCTCTCGTGATCTTGGGCACGCACGCACACACGCCCGGCGTGAGTTTTAAGCCACCGGGTCCGAGACACGAACCGCGGTCGACTATGTGGGAGTCCAGCGACATAGCCA